CTCGAGCCAAGTATTTGCAACCCTTTGTCACTAAAGCTCTCCATTTTCGTCACAAAAGCGACTTCACGGCGAATCAAGAGTTTCCAACTCACAATTTGTGTGTATTTTGATGGCAAAATGCATTGAAATGATTGGTATTATTGCCATTTGCAGCACTGCTGCAATTCTATAAATTTTACACACATACTTTCCATATTGTCTCTAATGGGTTAAATAGCATACTGTGTGCATCTCTGCGAATCGCGCCCACTTTAATTGCAATTGCCGTTCAAGAGGCGCGACAGAAAATCGCGCAATGTATTCAGTTTGTTTCGCTGAACAATATTGCGCACAGAGGAACGCATGCAGATAAATTCATTCCCAATGTGAATGATGGGAAAAATTCCTTCCAGTGATTTTCACTTTGATGACAACTCGCCACTTCCACTTTAGTGCGAATTTATGTTCGAAAACGATTTATTCAATTGAAGCACATCATTGGATGCATTTTCTCTGCAAATGGGATTTTTTGCTACACATCGCGTCGTTAGATGTGAAATTCATGTACATTTTCACATGAATTTTTTTTAGGTCAATAAATAATGGGCGCGAATAGAGAGAATTCAACTGGCTCTGTTTTAATAATAAACAAGAAATTCACTCCCTATCAGTGGTCTTTGCGCTTTGTGTGACGCATTCTTTGCTGTGACAAAATAGCTGGAAATTGTGAGGGCATTTGAGGGTGGGTGGAAAAAAGAATTTATCATAAATTTCAATTAGAGCGCACTTTCGCCCCTCGCACATAACATTTCACTTTTAATATTTGCCGAGAATGTTGTGTACAGCGCGGAGTGTGTGTGTCCCGAATGCCACCCTCGGGACTTTCGATGCATATTACAGGTCCTGAGCGCCGTTGCCAGGGGATGGACGGAAAAACTCATCCGTTTTCCGAGTGGCACACCGAGCATAAATTGACCCTATGAAAAAAGAGAGACTGAAATATCCGTGCAAATTGAAAATCATCCCCATTGCCAGGGAGATGAAGAAATTATCTACAGAGAGGCGACCATTAAGTATTCCTGATCGCTTTCCCGACATCAATGGCATCAAGATGTGTTCGGGAGTTGGAATAACTTCCGGCATGCTTGTAATTGACTCCTTTTGCCGTGCACTCACCGGGAGGCTAATTGAAAAGCTCATTGCCGAGGACTTAAGAGGAGCGCCTCGGCAAAGGGGATGCGCGCTGTGTTGTGAGCCATATTATTTAGTGCAATGATATCTTTTCACAACTGACTGCGAGCATAAAATGTAATCTAATCGGAGAATTTTGGGTCTAGTTGGTAATTAAATTCGTTAGTCCGGCCATGCGGAAGAACTGATTAAGACCCATCGAGACGGCTCTGTGGGATGTCTCTCTTCACACACTCATTTCCACCCCCCCGAAAACCCCAACATTTGTGCCGAACTTTCCGGTGCGATAGCACGAATTATTGAAAATTGCCTTCACAACTCCATTAATATTTTCTCAGCTGCGCCGATATCAATTCACTCTTCGGGGTGGATCAAGGGGGAGATTTAAGGGTCAGAAGTGGAAGTGCATGAATATTTGCAATATTACGCGTTAAAGAGCAACTTTGACAGTGAATTAACGCAATATTTTGAGATTTTTACACTATTTTATAGGATTTTTAGGTTATGTAACTAACTTTAAGGAAAACTTAGTGACTAAATACAGTTTTAGGATACAAAATTGTCTATTACAAGAGCTGTTTAATTGATTTTCTTCTTTAAAATAGAAAATTTTGGTGGGTTTTCGATTGTCGCACATAATTTTATTACACCAATAATTGTTTTTTCAAGGTAATTTTTAGGTTATGGTCAAAAGTTTATCTAAAAGAGCAATTTAAAGCTGCTGGAAACTTAATATATTTCTTAGATACTGTTATTTTGTACGTTTTTCCAAATAATTCAAGTTTAAATTGAGTTATTTTTAGGTCAAAGACTCCTAAATTTGAGCTTATGATACTTTAGATGGTTGGAAAATGTGGAAAACGCATGTTTTAAGCACTGCCAAAGTTCTGGAAGTGTCTGTGATCCACAGAAATTCGCTATTCACTGTTGAGACGCATTATCTCCCCCTTGAGATGGATGAGCTTCAGTTTCATAGCTCGAACGGATGCAGGAAAGCATATCTTATCCCCAGAATCTTGTCTGGAATAACCCTAAACTGTGCGGTGTTAAACCTAATGAGCAACATGCATTAAATGCACGTCAAATTTTCCAATTGAATAGTTAAAGTCCTCAAGGATTAAGAAATTGTGAATTTGAAAACTTGCCGTTCTCCTGCAAAATGTGATTAAACTCCCCAAATGATGCTTTTGCTTATCTCCGAAAAGTCTCTCTCTCTCTCTGAGTTTTGATGTGTGTTTGAGGAATAATTAAAAACCCCGCATCGTATCTTCGATATGTACGTGTAATTTAATAACTTGTGCTTCAACGGCGAAAGCTGAAGGAGCGTTTCTGGGCGAGATGCGATGAGAGGATGAGCCGATGGGGTCTTGTGTGTGTGACTCCACGTCAATTAAAGTGCGGTGAAAATCCATTTGACGTGCACAAGACGAGAGAGTTTCACGTATAGTTTTTCCCCAAGACTCACATCGTCGTTCTTGAGATGTGCGCGGTTTTGGTGAGCACGGATACAATTGGCAGGGATGGCAACTCATTAAATTCGCTCTCGATCGGGATCTCTTTTCCACCTGCTGAATTTAATATTGTGGCAGACACACAAGAAAGGTCCCGAATATACGATTGAGTTTGGCTCTCAGCGCGCTCGGCTCTAATTAATATATGGATAGATGGCGGAAGATTACTCATTATACTTAATGATTGTAATTTAGCCACTTTATTAAGTTGGTAGGATTAAGACAAATGGCACAGGATCCACCGACTCACCTTCCCTGTTCCACCCATTCTCGATGTCTCCTCAATGCCGGCGCAAGCAGATGGATTGTGCTTAATAAGTGTGTGTGTGTGTGTGTTTTCTTGGGGTGGGAAAGCAGACAGACAAATGTGAGAATGATGAAACTCGCAGCTCGCCGTCACTTTTCATTATTTCACCTACCATGCATCTTCTTCACCTCTGACTTTTCCCCCCAAATCGATCTGGGCGGCGGGAATAAAACTCCATCTTCAATCCATTGGGTGAAAATTAAATTCATCCCCAAATGGAGGGAATTTATTTCACGTCCAATTTCATTTCCATTCACGCTGAACTGATTATGAGTTTTCACGTTGAGAGACTTGAGCGAAAGCCCTCTGCACTTTTCTTACAAGTCGCCCATCGGCAAAGTGTAACTGATATTGTTACAGAGGCAAAAATATTTGTCTATATTGCGATATTTTATGAAGACTAAGGGGTGGATATTGTGGACGGAAGTGGTGTACAACTTGAGGCATTTTCCAAGTTATTTTCACCCTCAGAAACACTCAAAATTGTGTTTAAACTAGGAATATTTCGCTTTTTCTTGGCACAGTTGTGCATTTGTGCTCGAAAAACAGTTTTAATTTCAAACATAACCTTAAAAATATCTTTTTAACCTAGATGAACGTCTCTTTGCTTAGTTATTTCCGCTGTTTGTACTTTATTATCCAGTAAAAACATTGTGATATTCCCTAAATTTACTCATTTTCAAGGTTTAAAGGGATTTAATTCAGTCCAAGAATGTTTAAAAACTGGTCACAATTTCCTGGAAAAACCCGAAAAACCAAGATTAAATTGTGATTAGTTAGAAATCAGTGTAAGAAACAGTCGAAGGAGTTTAAAAAGCGATAGAAAATGCTTTTAAAAACGTTCTAAAGTGTCTGAAGTGTTAAAGATTCTGCATTTTGTACAGATTTCAGACTTATTATCTCTTCCTTGATGAAAGCATATTTCTTAAAGGGAACAGAGAAACACTAAAACCATCTTCTTACCATTGATTTCGTCTTCCTATTTTAATTCTCTTTCTTTATCTACTTAACAGTGCTTTTTGGTGGGAAAAAAGAATTTGGAGTTCTATAATTTTCACAAACATTCTCTTAAATGTCTGAATTGTGACTCGAAATCCCATCGAGATAAGCCTTTTTCTCCCGCCAACCCAAGAATCCTTCCTGCCTTGAAGCAAAGCTGCGCTTATCAAAGTGGCTACAATGTTTCTTGAGGAGCCAATTGAGGCACATTCACTACCCGACAAATGGAGCTCTAATGCTTTTAGCTCGCACACCCAAAGTGACTGAATGGTGTCTTGTCGTGAAATGCGATGCATAAGTAAGACGGTGCCTTTCAATTATCTCCCACCCTCGATTCTCGCCGTGAAATGAGGCAAAATTGCCCAATTTTATTCTGTTGTTAAGACGCGCGTCAAGAACAAAAAAAAAGACGACGGCAAGACGGAAAAAAGCGGCAACACAGGAACATCATTATCTCACACTCTGTGTGAGGACAGAAAGACAGCGTGGAACACATGCTTCTCCAGCTTGTCTTTGCCTCGCAGTCTTATGTCCCAGAGACCAATTCGCAAGAATGTCTCTTTGCATGTTTGTCTGGCGTTGGCTCATGAGTGGAGGAGATTGTAATAAAAATTGTAAACTTTCCCTTCACGACGAGCGAAAAATTGTGAATTTCTCTCGTACGTTTGTAGATTAAATGTCAATCTTCCTGGGGAAGATGTGTGTGTGTGTTACAAAAGAAGTGAGGATGAATTTACATCACAAGATTGGAGAATGCTTCATTCCTTTTAATTTGGAGGAAAGAAGAAAAAATTACCCAAGCTTTCAAGCAAAGTGAGGGGGGAAATTTTGGGATAATATAAAGACCTAATCTGTCATTTACCCATCAATCTTCTTCACATTTAGCCACCCTTTTGTCACTCTTCGACCATTTTCATCTCCCTCGCGGCTGGGAAAAGTGAAAATCTGCAGATGTACAGGAATTAAATTGAATCTCATGGGAACTAATATATCATTTTCTCTTCTCTTTCCAGGGATCGTGTTTTCAAGCTCAATCTCAAAAATATCAGCTTATCTGGATGCGAGGTGAGTCACCCAGTGTTATATAATTTAATTTGCCAGCCTCACCGCGAATGGCAGTGAAGCATCACAGTGAGATATTCCGCGGGGTTTTGTCGCCACAAAAGTGCCAACAAGAAAAATTCACACACACCGCTTTTCCCCATTAATTTAAAACCAATTTTCCCACTCTCAATCGACGGACCAAAAGTGACATGGATCGCGAGACGCGCGAATCACGCTTCACTGGAAACATTTCACACGGGCGAGCTTGGAAAAGCTCCCACGCCATTGTTTTATAAATACACACAGAGGTGCTCCATTGAGAGCTTTTCCGTGTGCGTCTCGCTGTTTTGCCGGGGCCAAAAAGGGTGAAATTATCGGTGACAGTCAAGCCGATATTTGAGTGCCTCGTCAAAGTCTATTTTCGACGCCATTTCCCTAGACAATGACCGAGAGGAAAGGGCGCAGAGTTCATGACTGACAGCGTAGAAAAGCCCTCAATTAAATTATATCAATCTTCAAGGGAAAAGAGGAAAAGATGACTCTATTTTTAGCACCCAGCAAAAACAGACACGCGAAAATTCTCTTGTAATTAATACACCCACGATTTGAATCAATGTCTATTTTGACAGGGTTTTCCACGCACATTTCACCCCACAAAAAAAAATCCCTGCACAGTCCATCAAATTTCCTTGTATTGACAATTCCGCCCTTGCAGTCAACCCTCAAGCAGCATCTCCCCCCAATTTTTCCCAGCAGAGACGTTTGTGCCCAACCTCGGCACTTTCCCAGTGAATAAATAAGTTTGGAGTTGCTTTTTTTCCACCCCTCCGCATCTCCCGAAAAACCCAATTTACATCTTGCTGCAAAATCGAAATAATTCCTCTCGCATTTTTACGATTTTTATTTCTCTCCCCCCCAAAAAAAACCCATGGCACACACGGAATTCCCATCTCCCCCGGGGGGTGTGGGGGTGGCGGGTGGGAAATTTAGGAGTGCAAATGTGTCGTTTTTCCTGCTGGCGTATGTGGAATTTGGTCAGTGCCGGCGGCATGAGAAAAAAAGTGCTCGAGGTCCACATTTACATCTCTGTCCGCTTTTTCTCCGATCCCGCATTTTGGGCCTTTTGTTGTGACTCTTAACAATTCGATTTACTAGATGGTGGAGATTTCCACATCACAGACGTGCCATCGTATTTCTTCTCGGCACATGCATACCTTTTTTCGCCATGTTACAGCAGAAAGAGCGGGAGAGAGAGAGAGGAAAATAAAATTTGGGAAAAGATGTAAAATCTCAATGCCTCAGCAGTGATTCGATTGAAGAATCATTTGTCAGGGAATTTGTACGCATCACAGGGTGAGACAAATGAGCTGAGAACATGTTAAAAAATACTAATTTCACAGAAATGCTTGAATTTTAATATATGAACTGAAAAATGGAAAGCGCAGAATCATATGCGGTTATCACGTCACAAATATGGGCTGAAAACAATTCAGGGGGAAGTAATTTGATTTATTTGTGATTTTTATAAGTTATGGGGTGAAAATGCTGTCAGAAAATTGACGAAAAAGCATATTTATTCTAGGAAATTGTTGAAATATTGCAAGAGTGTCTTTGCAATGGGCGGAGCATTCAAGTGGGCGTGGCTTGTGAACTTCTGTCAATCTTCAATCAATCATTCGATCTTTTTTAAATTATTTCTCTCTATGTTTCCACCATATTTTCATACATATTCATATGAGGTGCTACAGAATTTCCCACCCCAAATGCTGCTGCATAAAATGACACCATCTGGCCAATTTTGGCCCCTCGGCGGAAGACGCCCTCAAATTATGCCCAAAAACTGGATATCACTCAATGTGCTGCAGAATATAACTTTCAATTATTCGTATGACAAGCTTTTTAAAAGGCAATTTACAGTGTATGCCTAATCCATTTTCGGGGCCCCTCAAACCCCATGACAGAGCCGCAGGGGCTGCAATGGGATGCGGAATTTCCATTTGTGCTCGTGACAGGGAAGATCAAAAACGACATTTGCACTCCATGCGGTAATCGAGCCGCCTTTCCGCACTGCGAGTGGAAAAAATGTCTGGCCGACTCTCGAAATCACGGCCGATGACAACATTTTGGGGAAAATTAATGAGAGCGATCCGTTTTCAGCCCCCTCGAAGGTGCTCGGCGCGGCTGAAATGCATAAATAATTGAATTCCGAATGTTTGCATTGTGTGACGATAAAAATAATTGCGCACACACACATTGCTAGGCATGAATTTTAAACGAAACTGCAGATGACCCAAGCATCAGGCCAGAGGCGGGGAATTTGCATTCTCAAATTGGGGTGGAGAGGGAGAGGGGGTGAAAGAGACAGTCTGGGGTATTGAATCTAAATTCCTGAGTCAAAATGAAGCCACTAAAATTCATCTGCAATCGATAATATTCAACGTATTTTGCATGTTCGATCGCCTCAAGGGTGGAATATTCAAAAAGGCCAGCTCCCAACTAAGGGTTGAAATGGTGTAATGTGTTGTGGAGTGGTTTGGGATTTCTGTCTTTGTGCTTATCGTGAAGGCGTGATTGAGCAGAAAAGTGCGTGGAGATTTTCCTTTCCTCGCCAAAACAATTCCAACAGGCGAAATATAATCAAACAATTTATCACTCAGGAGCGTGTCAAAAATCCAGGACCTCGTCAAGTGCTCAGCAACTCAATTTTACTCCCATTAAATCAAACTCCTGCAAATGATCAGGAGAAAAAAGGGGAAAATGACGTGAGGTGAAGATGCTCAAGTGGACGAGGACATATCAATAAAAGGGAGATTTATTGGTCGTATCTTGAGTGAAAATCCCTCTTGATGCTTTTTAAATACTCATCACAAGTGGACCTTTGATTGAGACTCGCTCCTGAGAGGATTTGTCGGTGCAAAATAGTCTCGATAAGGAAATGTATTGCTAACATATTGATTGAACACATGCAGGAAAGGCATCACGATATGGATTTCGAGCAGCGCGTTTTGATGTGGTGAACCTCGCAAACGTCACACATTTCTTTCGTGTGCCAGCAATGAAATAAAAAAAAACTACCCCAAATGCAAATGTTTTTGACATCAAAGACATCAAAATAACTGCACAACTGTTAAATGAACTTTTACTCGGTGATGAAAAAAGCTTCTATCTGAGCTGCAAGAGCAAAACTATGCACAATGCTTTGATGTTTTGGGGTGTGAGTGGGGGTGAAAAGAGCCACGAAGTGCAAAGCGTTTTTCCATCAGGAAGCATTGTGCAAAATCTCTTCAGCCCCGCAGAAAAAAAACAGTTGAGAGAAAAAATTAAATTAAGATAAAGTTCACCCCTGAAAATTGAATTGAATCTTGAGCTTAATTCACGTGATTTCGTCAGGGGCGCATTGTGGAGAAAAACATCGCCCAGATAAGATTCATGGAGGCAATTTACTCGGCCTTTATTGGTATTTATGCTGTATTATAATTTCATAAAGTCAGCCTGTACCTCTTGTGCAATTCGAAGCACAGTTCCGTCGCGCATAGATTGAATTTATAGAGGGGGATGAATTTCCATGCGATGCTTTTTGGGGAGTCTCGCCCGATTGTGATTATTTGAGTATTTGATTCGTCCGGAAAATGTTTTGGGAGAAAATTCACGATACAAACGCTTAATGCAGCACCAGATAAGGATTCGATTTATGTGTAGAGCTCACAACTTACTGTCTGCTCTTTAAAACATTGGCTAGGGGTGTTTTAAACAGGGGTAAATTGTGCTGACTCCCAGTCAAATTACGCATTTAAACTCTCTCCGGTGGAGAAACACCCGGAAATGACAGAAAGAATTGATTTATTTAGTGTAAACCAAATGCTTCTCGATAATTGCGAAAGCGCGAGGGTGAAGTGGGATTTAATTAAGGGACGAAATGCTGGCGGAAACATTTGCAGAAGGAGTTGATTGGTGGAATTTATGGGTGAAGTCAAGGCGCGCAATTCATTGCGTTGCAATGCTCACATCACGAAAATTCTATGCAGGAAAATTTCTCTGGTGTTGGCAAATAAATGACTTCAGCGCAAGACTCCAATTTCTAAAGAGCTGATGCTTAAGGGAAAATAGCGGAAAAGAACAGTGGAATGTATTAATTAGACATGGTAATATTGAATGGCTGCTGAAGTGGGTGGAGAATTTGTTGAATTGCAGATACACGAGCGATGTTGCAGAACAAATTAAGAGCATTAATGATAAAGGGGTGTTCTTTTTCACTGTTGTTGATCGCGTGGCGCAAAAGCCTTCCAAGGAGCAGTCAAGGGGGAGATAATATGGTCAGAAATGGCATTATTCCTTTCCTGAGTGCTTCTTTTCCTGACAAAACTATCTCAATTCTTCGGATTTCCCTTGATTTTTACGCAGAAACAAACGGAAAAATGCTTTTCTAGGTTATGTAAGGAATCAAGGATAGATTTTAGAAAAAGTTCGATGATCGCCAATCATTAGCAGAGTTTAACCTTAACATCAAGCTTAACATACAATAAATGTTGCTATTCTGAAGTTTTCTGTGACAAAATTCTACAAATTGTACGAATGTAGAACATAACCTCAAAAATATTGATTTGGACTCAGAAAATGTTTATTTAGAAAACTTTCTGGACAATTTTGACTCTAAATCAGGAGTTTTGGGTTCTTCTGCAAGCTTTAAAGATAATTTTGTGACTTATGAAGCTTCCAAACTAAGCCTTTGAAGATCTCTTAGTGATATTTTGAGGTTATGATCAGAAAATGTATCGAAAGAAAGGCGATTTTATGTGTATTCTTACAGAAATATCGAGCCGAAACTTAAGAGATTTCAAATCTAAGTATTTCAAGTGTCAGACATTTAAAATTCAATTCAATTCTTCAAAATTAATGTCAACCAATGACAAAATCGCCCAAAAATGTGGTGCTTTTGTGTCTTTTCCTCACTGTGACGTAAGAAATGCTTCAGTCCGATTCTTGTGGAGTTCATTTTGTGACGAAATGAAGTCTCTTCAGAA